TGAATAGAGTGATGGCTAGAGAGAGTAAATTTAATTTAAGTTCAGAAATTGAGACAGAAAGGTGTCTGATTTTGATGTATAGCAGGTGTGGGATGGCAGACAATCAAGGGAATCAAGAGAATTAAAGTTTAGGATTAAATATTTCTAGTGAAATTAAACGGCAATTAAAAGCAGCAAAAGGGGATGATTGTGAAGTGCATTCTAATGCCCATTTGTTATGCACATTTGTATAAGCTAAAGAGTTTCATTTCACGTTTCATGTAGATTCTCTATCTTTCATTTTCAATTTTTTAAAACAATAGTTTTTTTTTTAAATAATTAAGGACCTGCCTCTGCATTTGCTCCCCAATTAAACACCAATTAATAATATAATTTAGAGTTGAGCTATATGTATGTTGTTCTTTTGTTGAAAAATAAGGTTGGGGCACATAATAGAAGGAAGAAGAAGATGGTTTCCCTTTTGAAATAATGATTGGGAAAGTGCCAATTTCTGTTTTGCACCTAGAAATAGGGATGGCTAGTTTTTCAATACAATTTGTTCACCTATTTGGTCCTTTAAGAAGAAAAAGTATATGTCTGCCAGTATGGAGCAACCGAGTAAAGATTTTAGTAAAGAGGATCAAATGATAGTATGATTGACTCTAATATAAAAGAAAAAGAATAGGATCCGATTATAAAAAAAAGGAATATTATGTCATTATGAAGATTAATCAAATCATGAAAAATCAATTTATTAATTGATTGATTTTAAGAATTTGATATTGATTGTAATTTCATTAACAGGGAGATTTCCAATTAGTTGTTATTTTTTCATATTATGTACCCCTTTCCGTATAAATATGGTTACTCATATGTAAGAAGAGAATGCAAGAGAAATAAATGTGCAAAACCCAAAGACTTTCGTACCATGGACTACGAGACCTTAATGTATCATGATGTCCTAGCATTATCTCAAACCATGTATTTATTCATATTATTGTTATGTTATCATGAGATTTCTATTATTAGAGATCTCTTTATCATATTAGAAACATCTTCATGGTATCAAAGTGAGTAGGTGCAGAACTACACTCAATTTTCTAAGTGAAAATTGAGTAAGGTTTCATTTCTGTCATTTTTTTCCCCCACCCTTCTATATATTTTCCCATCTTTCCTTTGAAAAAGAAACAAAAAAAAGAGGTATAAAAAAAAAAGGAGAGAAAGAATTTTTTTTTAAAATACAAATTGAAGACCATTTGGCCATCTTCAAAAAAAGAAAAAAAGAAAAAAAAAT